TGTAAATAATGGATTTGCCCCAAGACACCGTCTACCATAGTCAAATTGATTATTTAGACTTCAATTATGTTTTGTTGCAAGGCTATTTATGATGTCAATGTAAATCATTGTTAGGTACATCTAACATAATGCATGCATTTGTCAATTATTGAAATAAAATTCCTTTCGGTTTCATTTGAAACTTTAAAACCCTCATGCTTGTACTGAAAAAAAAAAACAATGGAAAAGGGCAAAGATCACATGTATAGGAATTATTTGCTAAAAATTAACAAGCACTAGGTCAAATGCACACAACACAGATGTCAATTGGAAAGCAATTCTTTTTCAAAACATAACGTGCATTGCATATTTTTTGCGCCGTTAAGTGCAGAGCATTAAACCCAGAAGCCATGATGGGTCCCAGATTGAACGAAATAGCTGGTGCGACTCCGTGTAATTTTAAAATAATTGGTATTTAGATTTTAATGTGTTTTACTTACGCATTTCAGCCAGATACGTTGTACAACACTTGAATTATAATACAGCAAAAGGGCTGACTCACAAGTTGGCTAAAATCTCGATAATTGGTCCACATTTTAGCCCCAGATGTTGTCTACTTCAATTTAGATGAGTTGCATTGAACTGAAACGTAAGCCATGCCATGTTGCAGGCACAGTTTTCAATTCCATTGGACAACTATGCATGTGTCTTGTGTCAGAAGGGACATAGGTACTTTTGATTTCGAGCACGATTTGGGCTACAGCTATTTTGTAAAACAGACCCCAGTGAACTTCAATTTCGAAATCTTTTATCTGCTGTCTAAGAGATATTGCGTCTGTGATTTGTACAGAAGAGAGCAAATAATATATTCTATTTCAATATTGTCAACAGTCATCCCAATAACAATGCACCAAGATTAGTTATCTATTTAATTTATTTTTTAAAAAAGTTAAATTTGAAAAGTGACTGTCTGACGGACCGTGTGAGCTTGTAAGCTTCCTGAGGTAGCCTCCTTACAATAAACACCACGCAGGCGCATTTGCATCTTATTTAACCAATGTGGGAACAGCGTCAATTAAAGTTAAGTTTTATGTTTGTTTCCTTATCAAAGACACCATTATTCTTTGACAATAAGACAAACGGAAACTAAAATGGCACTATAACGTTTCTTTAATACATCCTGTAATAAAGTAGTCAGACACAAACCGTATATATTATGCAAACAAATCTTACATTGACAGGAAGAATAAACGTTTTTGTTTACACCCTTTTAGTTAAATGGATATAGGACATATTGGAATAATTATATTCTTGTACTACAGTCACGCCCTTTTTAATCCCTTTCGAATTAATTTTTATCCAGTTAGTTTACTTGTCTTCGTAATAAAATATTTAGATTTTAGCTTAATTATAACAGTACTGTTTGAGTCAGATTTTCATCAATATTGTAACTCAAATTTTTCATTCATTTATCTTTTTCCTTTTATTCTTCTCTGTCATTATTATTATAGTAATTATTATTAATCTCTTTTTGTATTTCTGATATTTTCTAATATGTCTATCAAGTTTAAATGGCTCTGGTACAACACAACGTAACTGTCCTTATCAGAGAGTGCATAAAGATTAACCGTTTGATAAATTGTTTAAATGGTGTTTAAACCCCTCGTTTTGCGGACGCGGTGTGACCGCGTGAAAGAGGCACTCAGTAGTACCCACACGTGAATTAATATGCACGTCACGGCGTTCGACTGCAGTCACCTCACCGTTACCAAGCGGGAATAATTCGGGCACGTCCAAAGGAGGCGATATATAAGGGGCGAACGCTTATCGGGTGCTTCATCCACCGTTTGGTGACGGTTAGATAAGGAGAAACAGATCTTCAGGTTAGGAACTCACAGGCCGTCTTCTCATTTGTTACCGGTTCAAGATGTTCACTCTGAAGGTGAGTCCGATGCTGGATTGAATCATCAATGTTCTTTTACTTGTTAAGATGTTTTTTTTTCATTACTTTTTTTACAGTTCCACACAGGTACATCCTACCAAACAAATCCCCAAAAGTAAATACGATCCATTCTATATAAAGAACGATCATCTAAGATAGATGAAGCATTGCTGAAATATAATCTGTATAACATTTGTTAAGCGATTGAGCAAGTGACACTTATGTAGGCCTACCTCAGTATGATGAGTTTCAGAGTTCGCCTTTAAATTGACTTTGACTACTTAAAAAGCAGGTGCAGAGTTCCAGTTTTTATCATCAGTAAAGTCTGATACATTGGATTGCTTGCTGCTACCGTGTTGAAAAAAAATGCATTTCTACGTTTTATCTTTCAACTACATTAGCATTTTCTGAAGGCTTTCTCTAAAACCTCAGCTTATTTTATCAACAGACGTTTAATAAATCAATGCTTTTTACTGGATAAAAATTGCTTCTGACACGAAAATCATTTAAAGCCAGTAGTGGTCAAGGCAGAAACCATTTTCCAAAAGCGCAGTTCCTAACTTTTAAGTTATTAAAATAATTTTATCCTTCCCTGTAGTCTTGATGTAAAGGTAACCCCCCTCCCCGAGTATTGCAAACAGCCCAAGCCACATTCGCCATGGGCCTAATCACGTCTTTCATGCACAAAAATGTCTGGTCTGCAAAAACGTGTTTAATCCAACGAGGACTTCTTACCGATTCCTCTGGTCACTTACTGATGACCAATGATGAGCCATTTGATGTCCTCTTGTAGAGTTGGTGACGTCGTAGACGTCATCATCTATAAACATTAATTCATAAGTACATTTCATTAGTAACTTGATTAAAGCAATATATTCATACTGAGTAAATAACTAAACCGTTTTATATTCTTTGCAAACCTGTGCTTCGTTTGGTATGAATGCAGTGTTGTATTCTCCTGCTTCACGTTGAATCAGCTGGTGGTCTTTCACGACGAAACCGTTAAAAACCACAACCCAGTAATCAAGCCATGACATCCGCGGTTTAAGGACCATTCCCAAACCCTATCGTACCAACTGCGGATTGATCTATCTCCAAGGAGATTCTCGCTAAATTGCAATCACCTTAAGTGGCTTAGATGTCTTTCACGTATGTCTACTGAAACTGCAAGGGGGTGATTAATTATTGTTTAGCAGCTTCAGTAGGCCGAAATTAATTTAGCGAGAAACCCCTTGGAGGTGGATCGAACCTAGGTATGGAAACCCAGTTTTAAACTACACGTGAGCTGGAAGCATAATGCCTTTATCGGGAACATTAGTTTGATTCAATTTCCCCACCGTGACTGAATTTCTGCAGGGCCTTGCACTCACCAAAGTAACAGCAACGGTATGTTTTGAGAGAGAAAAAGAGAGAGATGTTATTATCCCGAGGTTAATGAGGGGTTGCCCTTACAGAGATGGCTGTTAACATTAGTTTAAGGTCGGATCGACTATTTCTGTTTTCATTTAGTGACTTTACAGATCTGGTCCTCAGACAACTACAAAAATATTAGAGGTATGCTGCAGCCCTCCTTCAAAACAAAAACTACTCTCTTATTTCTTCCCGCTTGGACCTAAATTGTGATGGTTGAATTGATCTTTTTTGATGTTTGAATCGATCTTCTCTTTTCAGACTATTTTCCAATCGCTGTACCTTGTAGCATCCATTCTACCGTTGACCATTGACGCAGGTAAGATACATGTAGGCCTTTTGCAGTAGTTGTATACATGTTTAGCTAGTATTATTAAATGACAAAAACTCCAGTTCAGATGGACAGGGAAGATGATTTCTTGGCCTCTGTTGTGCATACATCAGTGAAGCGTACTTGTGTTTATCATAGAATTGCATGATAAATATGTACCCTGTCTGCATTATGTGAGTTTAGATGTACCTGTGTAGACAGACGTATCGAGACGCTAACTTATATATATATATATATATATATACACAAATTAAGATATTTATACACATTTGTGGATTTATTTCCTTCGCAAACTATTCCAAACCATTTTTTACACATATGTATGTACGAGCCGGTTTTGCCGCCTTTTCTAAAACCCGGCTCCGTTACACAAGACCATACCCCTTTCTTAAAGACGTCGAACAAATGGTTCAAGGCTGGCAATTGCATTTTATTCTTTACTCGATACTCATACGGTTGTTTAATAGACAAATGATGGAGACATTCACGAACAGTTAAGTGAGAAGAAGATGTATACGCGTGGCAACAGAGTGATGTACCCATTAATTCTACATTACCCTGCAGCTTCCTCACTTCATTAAGGCCATTATACAAGTTTATTGTACGGCATTTATTGCTGCTATTTGCATAATTGAAAGCCCTTTAATGTACCATTGGCTGCAGTCTATAGGGCGTCGTTAAATCAGGAAACATAGGCAATATTGCTATATTCACGCAGGATTCCTGCTATCTTTTTATGTGGTTATTTATTCGTCGTTCTACTCTGATATATTTATTCATTAATACAAGTATTTCAATGACATTAACTATTCTTGAAATTATTATGATTTGAAACATGCGTTTTGTCCATGTGTACATGCATAATAGCAACCATTGCAACGGTCATTGAAGTTTCACAGGAAGTCTTCTTTTAAGAATTTAAAAAAAAAAAAAAAAAACAACAACAACAACAAAAAAAAAAACGGTTGTTCTTTTAAGAATTGAAAAAAAAGGTTCTTCTTTCAAGAATTTAAAAAGAGGTTGACCTTTTCGTCTCTAAGATAAGAAATAAAACAATGAAAATTATACCATTTTGAATCTGACAGATGGTACACGTATCGAGAAATTACATGTAAAAATCAACACCAATAGCATAGGAGTCAATCCCGTACATGTTCTGATGTTGTAGATCTATGGTAAAGATAAACAGTCATGATTTTCGATGTCTTTTCAGCTCCTCGTGCAAAACGTCAAGCCAACTGCGCATGCCCAGCGAATGGGTTCACAGCTCAGGAGAAACAAGGTCTTGTGGACCGTCACAATTTCCATAGGGCAAATGTGAATCCACCGGCATCTGACATGACACGGATGGTGAGTTAGCGCACAAATATGGATAGATAACCAGGGCTCGTATCTCGAAAGGTTCGCTATGTTGCGCACGTGCGCAACATAGCGAACCTTTCGAGATACGGAGCCCAGCTTTGCTATCGCACCTCCATTATGCCACAAACTTGTAGTTGAATAAAAATTTTTGAATGATAATTCGATAGGTGTTAAGGAGAAAACTTATTTCGACAGACTTAAATGAGGAAGTCGCGACCACGTTTGCTTGCACGGCTCATAGCATTTAAAACATTATAGTGACTGCTCGATGGGCATTTGTGGCCCGCTGCACTTCCCTGTGTGTGGCCCAAATTATCAAAAGATAATAATAATAATAATTAAAAAAATAAATAAAAATAAATCCTTTGTTTTAGGTATGGGACGATGATTTAGCCAACTGCGACGCCCAGGCGTACGCCAACAGATGCATATGGGCTCACGGCACCGTCGACCTCACCGGCTGCCCTTACGACTTCAGCACACCCCAGTACAGAGGTCAGAATCTGTGGGCACGGACAGCCTTCTCGGCCCAGAAACCGACCAATCTGGCGACAAACGTCGTGGACAGTCTTCATGCAGAGAATCAATATTATAATTACGCTTCTAATACGTGTAACGATGGGAAAGTGTGTGGACACTATACACAGGTAGGGGGTGATGGTAATAATGGTTATCAAGTGTAACATAAATGAAAGTCCTCGGAATGGATGTCCGGGTTTCCATATGATTACTACAGGTTAAGGTTAGTTGGAGTGTTGGGGTAGTATACGGGAAGAATGTCACCTGTACGAGTAATGGGAAGCGGGACACGGTTCCTAGCGGACTTTCATTTCTGTCACACTTTAAACTAATTTGTGTAAAGAAATGTTAAGTGCGCGTGTGCATTAGGAGGCGGGGGTTGGGGTGTCTTTTATAAAAAAGGGACAAAGAAATCTGTCGACTTGACCAAATTATTTCGACTTGGACTTATTTTAAATTAATTTTAGTGAGTTATTTAGTGTCCGTTTGGCTTAAACAAAGCAGCAAAGGTGAGAACTGTTATTTGTGCATAGTATGCACAGTGTATGTCGATCCCGAGGAATTGTTGTACAATTACTCTGACCTACATGTTTTCCTCGTTCCTGTCACTTTCCAGCTTGTATGGGCCAACAGTTATCGCCTGGGATGTGGTATCGCTTACTGCACCACCGGGTCACCATTTGCGCAGTCCCAAAATTGGTGGAATGTCGTCTGTCACTATTTCCCTGGGTGAGTATGAGCGTGGGTTCGTGCGTGCGCTCGTGCGTGCATGCGTGTGTGTGTCAGTATTATGTGTCTGTATGGTTGTGAGTGCGTACACGTTCGTGTGTTTGTGTGCATATGAAGTGTAATTTTTGTTTGTCCACGCGTGAGTATGTGGGAGTACGTTGCATGTGTGTGTGTGTGTGTGTGTGTGTGTTGTGCGTTCTGTGGGCGCGTACTGTTCACATATCGTGTACATGCATGTCTACGTGTGTAATAGGGTATATGTTTTGTATGTTAATGTATATTTAAATATGTAGCCTACCTAATATAAGTACCTTTTTATAAATAGCTCATGTAATGAATATGTATAGCTGGTGTTAGCGCCCTTTTGGTGTCACGTGGGTCATGTGACCCGGGACTAAAAAATCAGTTGGCGCGTAAGTTCAAGTGAGATACACCAGTGATCGGATGTGAATATAGTGCGAATAAAGATTTTTCTAAAAGGACAATACATTTGTTGTCGTGCCTCGGTTACACGTGTGTGCATGTAATGGCGCAAAAATACAAATACCTATATACATGTACATGTAATTATCAGACTGATAATCCGAGTCTGTTGATCTACATATCATGCTTTTGGAATAAACAGGTTTGTGTTAAGGTAAAATACTAATTTATATGGGAAATGCGATCCATCTGTGACTACATGTATAACTTACTGTTTTATCGTGTGTGTTTATAAAGAGGTAACTACCAGGGCCAGAAACCATACAAGAGTGGACAAGGCTGCAGTCAGTGTCCTTCAGGATCTGGGGGGTGTTCCAATGACGGGAAACTCTGTAGTAAGTAGAAGACAGAAATAATGTAAATGCCAATATTACTGGAATTTATTTATTTATTTATTTATTTATTTATTGCTTGATTGGACGAGGCTACAAGCACAATTTACAGAGACTACAACTTTAATAATACAATGTCTTAAGATAATCGACCATCGGTGTCGGTACCATAGAAAACAATTTTATGTATTAATTTTTATTTTCGTTTTGTCTTTCAGTTTCCTCATACGAATGTACTATGAACCCATCTGCTTGTGGTGGTAAGTGCAACATTTATGTCATATTTTAGTTAAAAATGTATAAACTCAGTCAAAAAGTGAATCAAGGCAATCCAACTTGGATTTTCTAAAGAATTTCAAACTAGGGGTAGTTTTTATGGATAACGTGACAAGGAACAAAGCGAATCAGCATTCGCGAGGACGTATGGAATCCACGTGGACAACTTGCACGTTACTGCCATCTGACGGTCGCATTAAATAACAGTTAGAGATCCAGACTGTTCTAAAAAGAGGCTATCGCAAAAAAAGTAATTGGCCATTTTAAAAAGTAATAGTTGTACATAACATCTTATTATCAGTCATTTCTATAGGCCTGTAACTGAATTTTAACCCAGCAAGGAAGTATCGTCCTTTTTATTGGTTAAATATTTGTTATTAGATTCTAAGTAATGGTTAAAATAGTAAGTCTGAATTGTCGAGGACTCAGTAGCAATATGGTGAAAAGGAGAGATATTTTTCATAAATGCAGGTCCAAATATGACATCGCTATATTGATTGATACTCACAGTGAGAAGAAAAACGAAAGCTTGTGGAAAAATGAATGGGGTGGGGACGCGGTTTTTTGTTCACTAACTAGTTACAAAAGAGGTGTTGGCATCTTATTCAAATCTTCCTTTGACTTTAAAATCCACAAAGAGATTAAAGATCCTAGAGGGAGTTACCTATTACTAGACATGGAAATTCAGGGCACGAGACTCACGCTAGGCGCTATTTATGGACCAAATAATGACGATCCGTCTTTCTTTAAGGAGATCCAAAATAAAATTGAAGTAATTGGAAATACCTCAATAATACTTGGGGGGGACTGGAACGTACCACTTGATTACATAACTGACACCGATAATTACCTACACAACAACAACACAAAGGCAAACCGAGAAATTGTCCGCATAATGGACAGTTTGGATTTAATTGATATCTGGCGAGAAATGAACGCGGAATTTAGAAAATTTACGTGGTTTGGACCAAATAAGAAAAAAAGCAGACTTGACTATTTTTTGATTTCTTCTGATTTACAAGACATAGCTGTTGCTGCTGGCATGGATTTTGCTTATAAATCAGACCACTCTCCAGTAAACATGGAGATTAATTTCATTCAAATTGAAAGAGGAAGGGGGACGTGGAAATTCAACAACAGTCTGTTAGGCGATTGGAATTATGTAAACTTAATTAAAAAAACCATANCACGGCCAATTCTTATGCATGTTAAAAACACGGAAATCAAGGTACGTATAATGCGGAGTAGATCTACCTTGAAAAGGCATGACAAAGGTGTTCGGCTGGCTGACGATATTACCAAACTAAACGCTCAATTACTGCAGCGCCTAAAGGAAAACGAGCAAATTGAACAGTCGTGGATTTATGATGGGAGTGTGTACGGTAAAGTGAAACACACTGGCCAGAGAATGAGATTTTCTATTGACGATGACATTGACAAGAAAGTTAAAATAAGAAAATAAAACATTAAACCAAATATATTTTGATTAAAACGAATATATGATGAGTTACATTCCATTCTCCCTCTATACAAATATGAGATATTGCTTAAAGAGGAGAATGGATCTAATGCGAACTATATGAATTCTCTCTTGATAGGTATGTGGTACATTGTTTTGTAGTTTACGTACCTGTTACAGTCTGGAGGTACGATTGTGCCAGTGGTATAGAAACTATATGTCATTTCTCTAGATTATTATGTGTTTTACGTATACCTCTCTAAAAGACCTGATATATATTAGACTTAGTGGATGTATGTAAAAGAGTAACGGGTGGCTTTACCTCAGCCTGAAACTCATTACGCCAATTTTTTTAAAAATTAATCTACATATACGAAAATGAGATTATGTGAATATTGGATAATTACATGAACATTGTTTTTTGCAGAGACAGAGGGGTTTTCCTGTTTGTACTGTATATAGTCATGCTATCATTCGCAGGATAGGCAACAGCTGGCTTCCTGATATATGTGTTTACCACTCAGTGTTGTACCGTTAATGTTTGTCTGTGGTGTCGATTTGTGTGAATGTATGTGTTTATAATTACGTGGTGATAATGCCTAGACTACTTGCGGAAGTATCGTCCTTTTTATTGGTTAAATGTTTGTTATTAGATTCTAGTAATGGTTAAAATAGTAAGTCTGAATTGTCGAGGACTCAGTAGCAATACGGTGAAAAGGAGAGATATTTTTCATAAATGCAGGTCCAAATATGACATCGCTATATTGATTGATACTCACAGTGAGAAGATAAACGAAAGCTTGTGGAAAAATGAATGGGGTGGGGACGCGGTTTTTTGTTCACTAACTAGTTATAAAAGAGGTGTTGGCATCTTATTCAAATCTTCCTTTGACTTTAAAATCCACAAAGAGATTAAAGATCTTAGAGGTAGTTACCTATTACTAGACATTGAAATTGAGGGTACGAGACTCACGCTAGGTGCTATTTATGGACCAAGCAATGACGATCCGTTTTTCTTTAAGGAGATTCAAAATAAAATTGAAGTCATTGGAAATACCTCGATAATACTTGGGGGTGACTGGAACGTCCCACTTGATTACATAACTGACACCGATAATTACCTACACAACAACAACACAAAGGCAAATCGAGAAATTGTCCGCATAATGGACAGTTTGGATTTAATTGATATTTGGCGAGAAATGAATGCGGAATGTAGAAAATTTACGTGGTTTGGACCAAATAAGAAAAAAAAGCAGACTTGACTATTTTTTTATTTCTTTTGATTTACAAGACATAGCTGTAGCTGCTGGCATGGATTTTGCTTATAAATCAGACCACTCCCCAGTAAACATGGAGATTAATTTTATTCAAATTGAGAGAGGAAGGGGGACGTGGAAATTCAACAACAGTCTGTTAGGCGATTGGAATTATGTAGACTTAATTAAAAAAAACATAAAAGAAGTGATAAAGCAGTACAGGACAGACGATAATGAAAACGTGGAAATGGCAGAATTTAATATTGACGATTGTTTGCTCTGGGAAACCTTAAAATTTAGTATTAGAGGTGAAACGATTAAGTACGCATCCTTTAAAAAGAGAGAAGCAGAAAAAGAAGAAAAAATAATAAGTGAAGAATTGAACAAATTATATGACTCTCTAAACAACAGGGATGATGAGACTATTCGGTTGGCAATTCAGGGAAAAGAAGATGAATTAAAAAGTATACGTGACAAAAAAATTGAGGGGATTATTTTAAGGGCAAAAGCAAAATGGAAAGTAGAAGGAGAAAAAAGTTCAAAATATTTTCTTAATTTAGAAAAAAGGAATTATTGTGAGAAATCGATATCTAAATTGAGGAGGAAGGACGGAAAAGAAATAACAAATATCCACGATATCTTAAAAGAACAAAAAAGCTACTATAGCGATTTCTACCTTTTCAAAAGACACTCTAATTGATAACGTCCATAGTTATACCTTTTTCAAAGACGAAAACCCATTTATTAAAAAACTTCCAGAAGAAAAAAAGATTACTATGAATGGCTCTCTGTCCCAAACAGAATGTCTCAAAGTACTTAAGAAAATGAAGAATGGAAAATCTACTGGTTTAGATGGCTATACGGTAGAATTTTATAAATTCTTTTGGACTGATCTCAAAGAGCCTCTGCTTAGGTCACTGAATAAATCCTTTGAAGTACAGTCAATGTCTACATCTCAACGCCAAGGTATAATCAAGTGTATACCAAAGGAGGGGAAGGAGAAAGTATTCCTTAAGAATTGGCGTCCAATTACTTTGCTGAACGTTGATTACAAACTTGCTTCTGCTTGCATAGCAGCCAGAATCCAATTACACATTGACGATATCATCTCTTTTACACAGGCTGGATTTGTTAAAGGTCGCTATATAGGCGAATGTTCCAGAACTATTCAAGATATCATCCATAAAACAGAAAAAGATGACATTTCAGGAATTTTGCTAATGCTAGATTTCGAAAAAGCTTTTGATTCTGTAGAGTAGGCATATATTTTGCAGTGTCTTAAATTTTTTAATTTTAGTGAAGATATTCAAAACTGGTTCAAAACCCTTTACTTTAATGTTTCCACTGCAGTGGAAAATAATGGACATCTAACAGAATTCTTTAATGTCACTCGGGGTGTTAAACAGGGTGATCCTCTGTCCCCTTACATATTTATTATCTGCATAGAATTGCTCAGCGCGGCGGTCAAATTTGATCAAAACATAAAAGGGATCTTACTGAATAACTCAGAATACGTCATTACACAATACGCAGATGACTCTACGCTCCATCTAGCCGATGATAGAGAGTCATTGAATGCAGCTCTGGATATGCTAGAATTGTTCTCTCAATGTTCAGGATTGAAAATAAATTTTGAAAAAAGCCAGGCTGTTTGGATTGGAGCAAAGCGCTGCTGTGGTGAGGAGTATCAAACCTCTAAAAGTATATTTTGGAATCATAGTGGGAAATTTAAACTACTGGGTATTTGGTATAACCTAGCAAAGGAGGACATTTATGAAGAAAATTACATTCCATCAAATCGTTGTTAAATGATTGGTCGTTCCGTCATATTTCACTCCTAGGTAAAGTAACTATTTTAAAATCCTTGGCACTCCCAACCATCATCCAAATATTAACTGTCCTTCCTATGCCTGCTGATCATTTATTTAAAGAATTGGAGCGAGTCTTTTATCGCTTTATCTGGAACAGTAAAATAGATAAAGTTAAGAGAAATGTTATGATTAATTCTTATGAAAACGGTGGATTAAAGGTCCTCAAGGTGAAATCCTTCTGTAAAGCTCTTAAATTGATATGGCTAAAGAAATTGGTAAATCCACATAATTGTTCTTCGTGGAAAATTCTTTTGATGGATGAGATTGCGGAAATCGGGGGAGTTGACGTATTGCTACTTCCATTGAAGGGCCTACAGTCTATACGCAATATTAATATACTAAACACTTTCTGGAAAGAGATTTTGGGAATATGGGCTTCTGTGCAAGAATTTTCTACTACTTCTCCGGATGATATCCTAGCACAACCTTTATGGGGAAATGATCATATTAAGATCAATAAAAAGATAATCTTCTATAAACCTTGGTTTCGAAAAGGAGTGCTTTACGTTAATGACCTGATTGATAATACTGGTTCAGTAAAAAGTCTAGACGTTTTTTGTGATGAATATAATATAGATTGTAATTTCCTTGACTATCAAGGCGTCATCAGCGCTTTACCTTCTGCCTGGAAAACTGTTATAAGAGGGTATCAAAAGAATCTTGCAGCAATAACAAATAAAAATCTCGTATTATTAAAATCGAAAAACAAATTAAC